AAATTTTAATTTAGATATATAGTATACATATTATTTTATTAAAAAAAAATACTATTACCATAACTCATTATTAACTGTTTTCTGTGTAAATATATTAGAATATAATACAATACCTTATACTATTATAATATATTAAAATTAAATACTATAAGTGTTTTTATTTAAAAAATTATTTAATACAGTTAAAGTAACATATTCTCGGGAAAATTTTTGATTCAAAATATTGTAGTTTACATTAGAAATACTAATAATAGAGTATTATATCGCTGAATCCAACATACATACATATACGCATTTTTAGACGAAGCATAAGTATTAAGGATTACATTCTTTCATTTTTGGTGTATATGTTTTCGACATTTTCTCTGGGTTTCGATCTATTTAAAGACAATTTTCCAGATCCATTATGTGATATTATTATAAAAAATATATAATCGTATTAAAATTAACAGTCATTAAAATTTAAAATGTACAATCAGAAATGTGTTAATCGTGATTGTTCAATGTTGTATTTATCATTTCGAGATTTGGATCTAATTTTTTTTTCAATCAAGAACTAGATTTTTTAAGACTGCTTTAAACAAGAATTAGTTATTAGAGGACATCCATCGATTGATCAATTTTAATAAACGTTTTGTCAAACAAAATAAACTAAAATAAAGTAGCATTAGATACTACTATGATACTCACACGGTGCCACGGAATTCAGTATCGGCGGCGCAGACATCTAGAGAAACATTTTCGTTATTTACAGAAACTTAAATACTATTTACAATCTTGCAATACACATTTTCAAACTTATTATGTTTAAAACACTCAACTAAATTTGTCCAAAAGGATCAGGGATTTTTTTTTTTTGAAACCATCTATTTGGTAGCCTTTTGAACGTTTTTCAGTCATTTTTTAATGATCCTCTTAGTAAAAAAATGACGTGAATTTACTGAAAAATCAAAATATTTTTTTGTAGAACTTTGTATCTTTGTTAAGAAACTATAAGCGCTAGAGCTCGCTACTTATTCAATACTACTTGACAAATATAAGTTATGCGGATTTTGCGAATTGTAAGGATAATTAAAATTAATTTTATGGTTTAATTTCGCGTTTTTTATTTGACAACTTCCGACCTTTCTTACACAAATTTCGTTGTTACAAACGACTAGGGTTTCTCGAGATTTGAATATTGAACTAATTTTAATCAGCTACTAATCGAAATGAATTAATATTATCACAATAAAAAATACGATATTAAACTAATATAGTTTTAATTAATTATAAGCAATATTTTATTTTCATTTTACTTAACGACAATGGGAAGATCTTCCGCCGAACGGGTAATATTGCTCGGTGGACCAACGGTCCGAATGTTGTTGTTCGGTACTTGTATATATGCACTGGTGACTCTCCTCGATGACTTCTTGTGAGTCCGCACGAACCCTGCCTATTTCTGTCGTGAAGCAGTAATGCGCTTCGGTTTGAACGATGGGGCAGCCGTTGCAGCAGTAAATCGTGAACATTTGTTGAGTACGTATTTCATTAGAAAAAATGGTACCCGCCTGGGATTCGAACACAGGTGCATCGCTCAACACGAATGCCCCAGACGTCTTATCCTTTAGGCCACGACCTCTTATTGTGTGGCGTTTACTAATATCCTGCCTTTCGTAATCAGTCATGCAATCTGTTTGAAGGATAGGACTAGTCGTGTTTCTTTTGCAGCAAAACATGGTATTTTTTAGGTCTTAGGACGTGGTTTTTATGGTTTACGGCTGCCCCGCTCTTCAAACCGTAATGCATTATTGCTTCACAGTAAAAATTGTCAAGGTCGTAGATACACATGCGGGCTCACAAAACGCCCTATAACCAATCATTACGCAATTTTTTTTGCTGATTTGATTTTTATCTCACTATTCCATCTCCGTGGAAGCCTTCTTTGTAATGTCTAATATATTGTTCTAATATATTGTAAAATAATGTTCAATATCTGATATATAATACCTGATAAGCAATAGCTTTATTGAGTGTTTTAATGATAATAAGTTCCCAAAGCATCTACATATTATAACACTGAATACATAACACATTTATTTACATTATATAAATTTACGATAATACTTTTTCATTACGACTACAATAATATTTTATACACAAAAACCTTTACTATTAAAGCCTGATCCAAATTGTTCTATATGTATCTAGAATGCTTTCAAGACTCTAATTTGTAATTAGCTATTTAATTTTAGTATATAGCTCATGCGTTTTTTATTTATTTTATTTTATACGACTCAAGACTTCCGGCCAAAGATCTCGTGGCCGCAATCCAATGCGCTGGTCCGACCAAATCCGCACCACTCTGGAACCCCCGTCTACGATGTCATATACACCGCCGAGGATAGAGGAAGATGGCGAGACATCATCCAAAGAAGGACAATGGGAGGAGACAGTCACAACCCTCAGACATGCGGAATGCGACTCAAGGAGGAGGATTGTATACCAGTGGTATTTATATTATATACAGCGTATATATAATAAAAACCATTATAATATTAATTAAATTCTTTCGACAGTTTTTTTTACTTAGGCTGTAAATATTTTATTATAGAGTCTTGAATCACATTCCATCTATTACCATTTTAATTAACCCACACAATCGTGTCGGTACATCTAAATGTGCATATAAATAATATTTATATTATTCTAAAAAACTTAATTTTCCTCACGCTATATGCTTTATTTATTTATTAATGAAACAATTTTTTTTTACTCGTGTGACTAGATCGAGATTAATAATTTCTTTCGACTTTAGATATTTCTAAAATTAAATAATTTCACTTCTTGTTTATTTTTATCTAATTCTTAGTTTGACGTTACGATAACTCAGTTCGCGTGGTAATTGCTTTCTAAAGATAAAATCTTTGGGTAAAGTTCATGTGTTTATGTGTACCTAATCGAACCCGGTTTGCTGGCTAAGCTTTGATCCGATTGCTACCAAACATCACATGTTCACGCGCTGTGCCAATCTGTAGATTTTCTAAAAAAAAAAATTCAAAATCAGTCCCGCCGTTAGACTCCGAGACTATTGGGAATATATTGACACATTTTCAAATATATAAATATATTACATATTGTCATTATTTAATGCAATGCATGTAGGATGCATTATGAACTCGTCCTGCTACTTCTCAGAGCAATCTGCGCTTCGATTTTAAGGGTAAGACAACCGTTATATACAAGAGAATTTACTTCGATCTCACGTATTGAGGTGGGTCACGGCACCCGTTGGCATTAATGTCTATGAGTTCCATAAACCACGCGTGGGACCGTAATTCAAATAACAATGTACAAATAAACTTATTATAACTAAAGCTAGAGATTTCAAAACGTAGAATTAAGAAATAATATGATATGATATAATATGATTTAATATAATATGTTAATTAGAGATTAAATTGTGAATCATTTATTTACGGCGCTTCCAAAAGCTTTAAAGCTATTCGGACTTCAACAAGCAGAAAAGCGGTAGCTTACGATACTATAAATGTACTATAAAATCCAAATTGCGCTAGTGTCTTTATGTCCATTGCCTTTTCTATGCTAACGATTTTATCTTGGGAATTATTTAATCAAATTAAATGTTATTTTAGAGCTTTACAATATTTCACTAAATGTTAGAGACTTTATTAATTCACTAGTTAAATTAGTAGGACACTATAATACAATGATTGCAATTTATATTATGTTAGGGTAACCGTTTTCATAGTATTAACGCAATAATAAATACGACATACTATATATTATTATATATTACACGCGCTACATTTAATGTGCTCAATAAATTCTAATTTTTCGTTGTTTCAAGGAAATTTTAATCACAATATTTTCATTTATTCGAAAAACGTACTACCATTACAAAATTGATAATATAATATTGTTGATAAATATATTATGTATATCTAAGTAATGTGCGGACGAAGGGTGCTTTTTGAATATCTCCTTGTTAATACCAATACAATACCAAGGCTTGTTAGGTTGAGATAATTAGTAGGTATAGAGTGTCGCCATTAGATGCGTTAGGTATTTGTTTTCGAGACATTAATGTATTAACGTCTCGAAATGACTGACCATATTAACGTTGTAATGAATATGGATTCCAGGTACTACTTAACATCAAATGGGCTTTGAACCTAGTTGTTCATTCATACGCTACTGGACGTAAGCAGCAAAACCTTAAATTTTTTCGCCACTTCAAAATGGCTCTCTCGTAGAGTCAACAAAATTTAACTTAAATCACCCTTCGCCTTTAAAGTTCATCTTGTTTCGCTAACGCTTCTACAACGTCTACTTTATTATTAAGAAATAAATCATTAAAAGGAACTTTCAGATCCAATTCAAACATTTTCCGAACACTTCGCGTTATTAGATAAAACAATATTTGAAGCTTTTAATAACTTAAAGAGCTTGTAGATTCAACTTCCTAATTAAAAGCTTTCAAAACGTTTCTTCTCGGTTAGTTTTACAAACACTCAACAAAAATTAATTCACAACATAATTTTTCAGAAAATCTTCTTTAGAACGATTACTACTTACTTTTTACTTGTAAGCTTAGTAGACTTTTAGAAGTAGTATACTTTATCGTTGGCTTCGAAATGTACGTGTTTCTTGCTGTGCGGTGGTAGCACGACAAACAACCATCAGGCTTGGTTCTGACTGCTCCCATACTTTGCTCCATGAGATATTTCACTCCTCACTTTATGATTAGCACTTTTACCGCTAGACACTTTAGCATTATTCTCTCTTCCAATACTTCTAGAACTACCATTAACATTACTAACACACCTAGGAGTTTCGCCTAAATTACTAGAACTCACATCGTCACCGTTTTTTGGTTCATTGATTTCTGGTATAGGGTTCTTGCACTTCGATGGGTCTTCCCTTTCGGCCTGGGTCAGGACTTCCTGAACGTGGATGGTGAGTTCAGGCCTGACGACTTGGGTGAAGGGAAGCAGCGCGCCCGCTACATCCATGGTGTTGTTAATGTTTCTGTGCCATAACTCCAGCACAACACTGCGCCGTTGCTACTTGTAGCGAGGCGGGCCCAGCCAGCCGCAGCCGAATACCTGAGAGGTGTTTTATTTATTTATTGCTCTCGTAGGCAGATAATCATAAGGACCACTTGATGGTTAGTAAATACTGTCAATCATAGACGTCAGCAATGCAAGGGCACAAATACTTGGTTCATAGCTGCTTAACTACCCCTAAATTTTTAACCGTTTTAGTGGGGCAGGATTTAGACGTGACTATATGTCCTGCTGCGTATCAGTCACACGGTCTATTTTGAACAATAACAACCACCGAATAGTAAAGCTCTCCAATCTAAATCAAATTTACTAGTTTTAGGTTTATTTTGTCTTCACCTATAAAAAGTATCGGATAAGAACAGTTCACGTTAGGCTCCTGCGTTGAAAGGTATACACCACTAGATACCACGCCCTACTTTGATTCCAACAAACGAATCTACATAAAATACGAAACACGAAACAGCAATAACAATTAATTAGTTCTGACTTTGTTGAGTTAACGCGATCTAAAACTGTTTCATGGATATGGAATGCGCTAACAAACAGTTGCAGTATGCAGAGGACGAATTAGTTACGTCACAAAAGTTTTCGTGTGATGCTGATAGAGTTTCAAACAACAATATACTTGTTTGAGGAGTACGTTTTGTAATCTCAATTTTAGGATAACTGTTATTACCAGAACAGATGTGACTCGATCAGTGATGAGAATCTTGATGGAAAAGAGCAAATTGTGGTGTCTACGACTTCTTGTAGCCTCGCCGGCTAAATTCCTCATGACCATCATTTTATTAATTTATTTTTTATTGCCCTTGTAGGCAGACGAGCATACGGCCCACCTGATGGTGGGTGGTTACCGTTGCCCATGGACTTCAGAAATGCCAGGGGCAGAGCCAAGCCGCTGCCTACCGCCTAATACTCTCCACAAGCCTCGTATGAAGAAGGACATATCATAGCGTTCGGGAAACACCGTGGAGGAGAGCTCATTCCATAGCCGGATGGTACGTGGCAAAAAATACCTCTGGAAACGCATTGTGGATGACTGCAGTGGATCCAGGTAGTGTGGATGAACTCTACTCCGGTCTCCGGTGGCGGGCGGTGCGATGGTAAAAACGAGATGCCGGTATCATCTCGAACAATTCCTCAGAGCACTCTCCATGGAACATACGGTACATAATACAGAGATGGTAGATGGTAGATTGTAAGAAGCACTTCTTACCTGGCAGATGACTAAAGCCAGAAGTAAGAGGACTATAAAAGCCAACACGCCCCATACAACACCAAGCTGGGTCAGCGCGAACACGTACAGGGTCTTGTGACACCACTGGTTTGGTTCGAAGAGCGTCGGGGAATAGTCGGGCCACATTATGTCCAGGGTCCAGTAGTTTCCGCAAGCAAACCTGTTGGAAGAAAACATATTTTACGTTTACATATTCGAAAATCGCAGACGATAGAGATAAACGAACTTTTCCCGGACATTTTTTTTTATTACTTAGATGGGTGGATGAGCTCACAGCCCACCTGGTGTTAAGTGGTCACTGGAGCCCACAGACATCTACAATGTAAATACCGCCACCCACCTTGAGATATGAGTTCTAAGGTCTCAGTATAGTTACAACGGCTGCCCCACCCTTCAAACCGAAACGCATTACTGCTTCACGGCAAAAATAGGCGGAGGGGTAATACCTACCCGTGCTGACTCACAAGAGGTCCTACCACCAGTAAATATCAATAAACCACATATTATTATCTGCCAAAAAGTGTAATGTGTGTTCAAGCCTGAACGCTAGAATAGGATAGATATTCCCAAACATACTATCGATCAACATCTAAAAGTGTGAGTACGGTTATCATTACTGTTGAATGTGAACAGAAGTTGCTTACATTTAAAAACGAATCCACCAAATTTAACAGTCCCAGAATTCAGTGGGTTAGAACACAAACCGCATAAGCATAAGTGTATCAACAAAATTACCGAGTTCTATTAGAAATTAAAGTATTCTATTAGGGGTTCTGTGATACAGTCATTAGGATCGCTAATCGCTAGACCAACATCGTCAAAGGCGATATTATTTAAACATGAAATACACACTCCAGATTTTAGACCAGTATTTAAGTACACGCCGCCAGATATAAGTGGACCAGTTGTTATATGCGAAAATATGCGAATTTAAAACTGTTCAACGTTTTAAAATTAGATTTTTTAGATTAAAGCTGAAATTACGGTAATGACTTCAAAAGATTTGAATTAACCATTCAATTTTTCCTTCTTTTATCCTCAAAATTAATAGGATATATTTTCAAAGGGGAAAGATTTTTCAAAGGTTTTCAATTATGGTACGATAAATGTCATCGTGATCTCGGTAATTTTTCTTTTCAACGCACAAAATCATTCTGTTTTTAGATGGGTATATACATAGACATTTATTTCAGATAAAACGTTAGCTATTTTTTAGTTTGAGTAAGTTTGTGAATTAAGAAATGTGAATTGAGTTTTTCAATTAAGAAACCAAGGTTTTTGGCAACTTTTCTGTGCCTTCTTATGATACAAAGTCAGTGAGGGGGGACTGAATATCAAATGTTAAATCATTAGAATTCTGATAAACATCACAAGTCATAGCGTGACTGGTGCCGCCGAGCTTAGGAGATGATATGAAATCCCAGCTTTTTTGGAATATCGGCTAAACTTCGCTAGAATGGATAATTGTTGGATGCTAAGAACAAGCAGAAAGGCGATACAAACATATGCCGTCTCATCTTTCGTGTCTCAAAACTCTCGCCGAGTACTCATTCTCAAGCAGCTTGGAGTCGTTCGGGCGATTCGTTTTGAAACGTGGCCTAAATTAAAGACCAAATATTTTTTGTGCACGTGGGAAGATGAGCTTGGGGACTGCTTGGTGTTAAATGGTTTTTGTATCCATTCAGCCAAAAGAAAACCTGTAGAATAAAGGTAAAAAAAGAAAAAAATCTTGACGGTCCCGATAAAGTTTTGAAAAATTTATTAGGGCACAGACCCAGTTCAGTAATAAATTCATTTCAGAGAATCCGCGCGTAATCCTCCGTGTATTTATAGCCAGTCCCGGGGCCTAGTGCTACGAAATATGGACTTATTGTGCTCCAATATTTACGTTTTTGCACCGTCAATAAACAAATAAATTCTAAAGAAGCATGTAACGGCCCCGACCTGGAATTTGCTCTTATGTAGCCGGAACTCGACGAGACAAAAACAAGTTGAGAACAAACACCCTGAATATTAAATGTCTTACGGCTAATTCCGGCAAGAAAACGATCTTGGACCGCTCAATGCGGCTCAATATCTTTGGTTTTTGAGAGTTTTTTTTTTTTTTTTTTATGATTGAGAGTTTACTGGTGGCCCGAAGGCCTTTCCAGTTTCACCAGGACAGGTGGGCGAGCAAAGGCTCAGCCAAGAGGGGTGGGATTTGCTAACAACTGCCCGAGCGCCTCCGAAGGAGACCTAACAACTCAAGAGCAATTGTTTCGCGAATGAATCTACTACCGGATCGGAATCGCGACCCGCTGAGAAGATCCGGCGAGAAACTCAGCGGGCTGATGCATGGGTTAGGTTGCACGTCGACCTCTTTGTCGAGTTCGACGAGTACGGTTACCGGGGTCCCTAAGCCTGCCCCTAGTATTAGAGCTGAAGGCATCTAATGCAAAGGTTATTGGATCTGATGGATCCGTAAGGACGTGTCTAGGGCGTCGACGGTGACTGGCTCCTGCATGATCAGGATTCGGGGAGTATATCCGGGCGCGATGCGCGATATTTAGCGGGTAGTGAGTCGGGGTTAGCGGAGCGATGATATCGAAGGCGAGATCATCAACTAGCGCGTCGAGCCGCCTGCCATTAGGGGTTGTGGTGTGAGAATTCCACCTGATGTGTTTACAATTTAGGTCGCCCGCCAGAATGACAGAGCTTCCCATGCTGAGCAGCGCCTCGATATCACTGCTTAGAACAATCTTATCCGGTGGAAGATAAACGGACGCGATAACGATCGGCGCGTGTCCCGTCAGTGAGATTCGGCATACTGATGCTTCGATGTTAACGAGCGCGGGGGGATCGAGCGGGATGCAGTGCAAGGCTCTTCTGTAGTAGATGACGGTACCACCACCACGAGCAGTGAGCCTGTCGTTCCTAACCATGTTATAGTTCGCGATTTTAGGGTCGCGGCGCGCGGGCTTAAGTAGAGTCTCCTGTACTAAAAATATGTCAATTTGATGGTCACGCAAAAAATCACAAACCTGATCACGTTGATTTGCGAGACCGTATGCGTTAAAAAATCCTATCGTTACGGATAGGGGTTTCAGCCTACTTTTGTACGCCATTGATTACCGGCGGAGTGAGGGGAGGACGTACGTATTTAACGACGCGTATACGTCGGCGTATTCCTGCACAACGGCGATAAAGTGTTGTGCAGTGGAGGCAGCGCGAATGGCGTCACCCAAAGCGTTAACGCGCTCAAAGTTATCGATTGAAAGAAGTCGATCGCTAGAGCAAGATTGTCGGAGCGCTGTCGGAGAGGGCAACTTCGCGTGGATGCGAGGAGGTCGACATCGGTGGGCGGGTTTTCTACGAATCGCGGCCTAGGATGGGAGTTGTTAGGCTCGTCGTTCCGTGTACGGCAGCTATGTGTTTCGCCAGGCCGAGCCAACATCTGGGCAACGGCGCCGGAACGAACTGCTGGTTAGCCTCTCGCGACAAGAGTGGATTTGACGATACGGCTCTTATGATGTCTGTGAAGGCGGAAGACTCGGAGGCGGTTTTTGGCGGGCGACGCGGCGATTTATTTTCGGGACTCGGGGGCATCCGCGGTAATTTGCGGGGTGACCACTGTGTTCGACACAGGACGCAGCTAGGCGGTTCCGTCGCGGTTTTTTGATCGCGAGTGCAAAGGGCCGTAGCGTGATCGCCTAG